TGTTATGTTGAGCTGTAGGGGACTCAGGTCAACAATTTCTGACACTGCCAGTCAAGAGGAAGACCCAATACTATTATGACCCAATAGTATTATGGACTACTGGACTCTTTTAGAATATTGTGCTGAGTTAACATACCTATAATATTCAAATGACAGAACAAAAAAGGGGATACAGATGAATCCCCATTCAAAATGGTTAGGATAGATATATAGTTACATTCTCTTAATGAATAAAGGGATTTGTTGTAATAGTGTTTGTAAATAGGATATCATGTCTCCATCTTGTACAGCAAATAACCACTAGGAAGAGAGTATGCAATGTGTTAATTATTGAAACTATCATACCAATTTAATTTGAAACTGTCTCATTGCTATTTGTCTCTCAATAAGATTATGGAAAAAAATTAAAAAAGAAAAAAGAAAAATTATAATAATAAAAATGTACCTATAAAATCCAATTTTTAAAAACCTAGTCTCAAGAGGCTGCCCCTTGGTTTTTGTCTGGTTGAGTTACTTCTGGACAGGCACCGTCACAGGTCAAGCAGGAGGTCTCGTTACTGTCACCCACAGGACCTCCCATGAGTGGCCTCAGTCCAGGAGCAGGTCCCACTGGCATCATGGGAGGGCCTCCCATAAGGAATGCCAGCACCACACCAGGGTGACAAGCACTAGGGAGACTGGAGGGAAAGATCACGCCTCTGAGGAGCAGACATTGGGGTAGGAAGTATCTTTCCTAGTAGAAATGCAACCACTATTTGTCCATTAGGGTCTAAGTTGGTCTTCCAGTCATTTCTGACAGCAACCATTCACTTTCTCTGTGTCTTTCTCACAGACAGTGTCATGACTGAGGTGGGTACCACAGCATCCACACTAAAACCCATCCACAGGCTGAGGTATAAATAGCTCAGCAGCACAGCACCTATCTGGCAAGCACAAGGTCCTGAGATCAATTCCCAGTACTACGGCAAAAAAAAACCCCAAAAACAACTGAGGATTCAATGGTACCAAACAGAACATTCTGACAACACCCAGGCTTTTTTTGTTGCCCTAAATGAGGTCAACCCCCACACTGCAAAAGGGGTGTCTACAGCTCTCAATGTCCTACCCTTGCTCTCCCCTAGGTCCTCGCCTCTCCATTTAGACTTCAAGGAGCAGAACCTACCCTAGGCTCCCCTCAGAGGCCACCACTACCGACTGCCACCTCCCGCAGACTGCAGGGCCCTGTCCCTACTTCACAGCTTTTCAAATACTGTCCTATTGCTTCCACCTTCTACATTCACTGGACCCAATTCAGAATATGGCACTGGCTTCAAACCAAACTTTGTAGAACCGAGTCACAGGAAACGTCAACTTTAGAGTTATGTTTTCTACACAGCCACCTTCTGTCTCTGCAGATTAAGTATTAATTCTTCATACTTGCTTTCATATTTCCTAAGATTTGTCTTTTCATAGAAGCATGTAGCAAGTGCTCACTGCACAACTACTAAACGTTTAAGGCAGGCACGGCATGCAGTTGGGGGACCTTGAGCTGGTTCCTTCTCTTCTGTGAGGTCCTAACATTTTAAGTGAGAAAGACAAGCACAGTATGTGTTATTATTGTCTAACCTCAAAGGACAATACCCAGGGTGGTCAAGATATATGATAAAAAGGTTTAAATTTCAAAAATATGTTACAGTAAAAGACACACTGCTATTAATCACCTTCAAAACATTGTCTT